CTTTTTAAATTTAATAATATTATATAATAAGTATATTATAAAAGTTACTAAAAATAGATAGTCTATAAGAGCTCATAGCCTAGATATAAGAGCTGTGAGCGACTGTGGGCTCCCTGGGCTCCCTGGGTATATAAGAATGCTGTGAGTCGCGGGAAAAATTGCTGATGTTTATCTCTATAAATAATCTTATCGTTTTTTAGAGTTAAATCGATATTTACGCGAATTTTAGTCGTTAACCTTAAACTTCTATTTAGTCGTATTCTTTACTCTTTAATATTAACTTTAGTAATTCTTAATGTAGTATCTTATTAAGATATTATCGTAAAGAGCTCGAATCTTCGATAAATAGATTATCTTTCCGCGGTCGCTAACTATAATAGAGTACTTTAGGATTTAGCGTGTACGTATAACAACGTATAAAGACCTATTCAGTAGATCGGGAATCGAGAACGCGTTTCTAGTTAATACTGATAAGACAACATCACTAACATCATCTAGAGAAGCAGCGGCTAGGGCTATAAATATTTAGTATAGCGGGAGTATCGACGAATAGGACAGAACTAATAAAAACACTTAGGAATTAGGTAGACGACGCTAAAAGCCATAGAATTCATAATACTCTACTCAATCTATAATGAATGGTACACTGCCAGCACTGTAAACTATTCTATATCCCCTTCTACTAGCCCATTTAGGTTTGATATGTGACTAGATAACTTTTCCTCTCTGCTACCGCTCTACTAGCCCAGCACGGCCCATCATAGTACAGCCATCTTGCTTTATTACAATAGTTAAGTCTTAAGCGAGGTCGTTAAGAAAGCGAGCGACAATAGAAGAAATATAATAGAAGAAGTTTAAAGTAGTGAATAGCTTTATAATTAGCTAGGGCGTCGACGCTAAACTAAGATTCTTCTTATATAGTTCTCGGGGACTATTATTCATAAAGTAATTAATTAAGTTACGAACGAAAGAACTTTCTTTAGTTAAGTGTGCGTACTATGAAGAGACTATCTCACCGCCGTACGAGTTAATACCTATGGCTAGTAGCCTCGCCTTAGTTTAGTAGTTTATATTTAGATAGATTATAAATAATTACTATATAGAAACGATTATAAAAACGAATAACTACTTTAATATAATCTTCTTTTAATTATCGATTATATAGAAATAAATACTCGAAATTCTCTAAAAATATCGTAATATTTAGATCTTTAAAGAATAAATATTCGGAATTCTTTTTACTTCTCTATAGTATCTTTAATATAATTAGCTTATTTCTATTCTACGCTATCGTCGTTAGATTCGGTATCGTTATTATCTATATAAGTTCTAAGAAAGACGACTATAAAGAATCTTTAGAAGAAGATAAGAAGATAGCGAAAGACGCTAAAGAAGTACTCGTAGTTAGTCCCCGAAATCTCGGTATTTTAGATTACTCCGATATTATCGTTTTAATATTTTAAGAGAACTAATCTAGAAGCTCTTAAACACCCCCGATTCCTTATAGTAGTAACTAAATTAATAAATAAACTAATTACGCTCTTAGTAAGGCGCCTTCTTCTCGAAATTTAATTTAATAGTCGAATAGATCTCGTCTTTTAATACTTAGTTCGTAATTCTTCCGGTCTATAAGTAATCTCCGTATATAAGAGAACCGACCTTTTTAATTAGCTTTAATATTACGCGAGTAATCTCTATAGCGTCGACTAAGTTCGTATCTCGAATATTAATTAGTTAAAAAAACTATATTCGACGTAATAATAGCTAGCCGTCGATAATATCTTCTTTATTTATCTAACCGTAATAGTCTAGAATTACTATTATAGCTCTATATTAAATTCTCTATTAAAATATTTCTCTATCTTAAAACTTACTTATATTCCGTGTCTCTTTATTTCTTTTTTTCTTCGTTATTTCATATATCTTTTTTCTTTCTTATATCTTAGTTCTTCGATAAATATACTTTTTCGACGGCTTATTTAGAAGAATTTCTTTTAAGTCTTAAAGAGATAATCTTCTTTCTCTTTAAGTTTCGCGTTAATCTTTATATATTATAATATTATAGCGTCTCATTTTACTAATCGAATATCTTCTCTTCGGAAATATCTTTACTATAGTATTTTATTCGCGACTAATTAATTTACTTCTTTAAAAAGTTATTTATCTTAAATTCTTCTTAATATTTCGATTCTAAACTCTTTCATAGAAAAGATTTTCTAAATAATTAGCGAACTCTATCTCTATAAGTAGCCTTATCGTCTTTTAGAGTTAAACCGATATCTACGTAAATTTTAATCGTTAATCTCGAATTCTTATTTCGTCGTATTCTCTACTCTTTAGTATTAACTTTAGTAATTCTTAATATAGTATTTTATTAAGATATAGTCGTAAAGAGCTCGAATCTTCGATAAATAGATTATCTTCCCGCGGTCACCAAATATAATAAAGCACTTTAGAGTTCGGCGTATACGTATAACAACGTATAGAGACCTATTTAGTAGATCGGGAATCGAGAACGCGTTTCTGGTTAATACTGATAAGACAACACCACCACCAACACCACCCAGAGAGGTAGCGGCTGGAGCAATGAACGCCTAGCACAGCGGTAGCATCGAGGAATAGGATAGAACTGATGAAAACACTTAGAAATTAGATAGATAGCGCTAAAAAGCCATGGAATTTATGATACTCTGCTTAAAACCGTTTAATCTGTAATGAATGGCACACTGCCAGCACTGTAAACTATTCCGCACCCTCTTCTCTGCTAGCCCATTTAGATTTGATATGTGACCTAATAGATCTCTGCCTGCCACCGCTCTATCAGCTCAGCATAGCCCACCATAGCATAGCCACCTCGCCTTATTACACTATTATTATTATTTATAATATATATAAAGAAGAATAAGACTAAGATATACGAGACTATATATATAAGACTACGTATATAGAGCTATAAATATAAGTATTTAACTAAGTATCGATAAGAACAAATATATATAAATACTAAGAAGTACGCTTTACACCGTATAACTTAAAGAGTATACGGGACGAATACGACGACTCTATTACTTATAGCTTCTTAAGGATGAGAAGCTTAAAGAGAGAGATAGTATTACGGATTCGGCTGAATATCGAAAGAACGAACGTCTAATATAATTAAACCATTAGCTAAGAGATACGACTTAAGAAGTGTATCCTTATTACTAGCACACTCCTCGTATAGAAGGCGCACTCTTTTCTCTCTTACGCTTTAAGTCGTGTATAGTATTGACTATATACTATAGAGATATCTTAAATATATACTTATCGTTAGATTCTATCTACTTACTAAGAAATCTTTAATACGAACCTTAATAATACGAGAGAATTATATAGTTAGCTATAATAAAGAAAGAAAGAAGGGAGAAAATATATATAGATATAATTTATCTTAAGTATATTAAGGATAATAAATAAATCTAAGAGAGAGATAGTATTAAATATAGTCTTAGATAGACTATAAACGCGGAGTATACTAAGGTAGAAAGCTTAACCGAATATAAGGTAATCTTAAGAGGTAAGGCTAAATTTATTACGTAATATTTAGAATAGAAAAGAAGTGAACTATTAATATATTGAACTAAATTATATTTATATATTAATATACTATTCTATATTACCTTATCCGGAAAAACTATATAAGTATATAGTTGTACTCTCTTCTCTAGTTAGTTACACTCTCTTCGTAGCTAATTTATATTAGCTATTGAACTATACAGTTCTTAGTAACATCGACTACTTATATCTTGCGTGATTTATAATTAGTTCATACTATTTAAGGAATTATTACTGAGACCCCTTAGTTAGGCCCCAGTAGGAATCCTAACACTTATGTTATCTATATTTAGTTTATACTATTTAAGGGCTTGTTACTGAGAATAGCTGGCTCAGTTAGTACCCAGCGGCAGCTCTAACATCACTATTTATTCGGCTTTTTAGGTAGTCTTATAATAGCTGTTTCGACTCTAGATCCTCGAAGAATATATAGAGCTTTCCTACAGTTAAGATTTAATGTATAATCTTTCGTAAAGTTCGTCATTACTCATTATAGAGTATAAGCGCGATTCTAGAATTTTCCGATATAATTCCCTACGTCATAGGAAAGGGTGACCGAGAAGAATAAATGGCCGTCCGGCGTTCCATAAGGTTAGCCACCACCCTGGACGAATTTAAGAATACCTAAGTTTAAGAACCGAATTTGTAAGTGAACTTAGTAACAATACGATGTGAGTCTGGCTTCTAGCCCGGTACTGAGATTTCAAGAGTCTAAACAAATGTTACTTATATCTCTCCATATTTTTCAGCCAGCTTTTTGGCCCATGGTCCTTGCTGAAGTGCAGGGATCTGGAAAGTGTTGCTAAAGACCGGGACGCCTAGAACCACAGGAGGCAGTCTATAGGATCTGCTCTTGATGAAGGAGCGAAGCCAACTCTGTCCGACGATGAGGACTAGAAGGCGGAGAATTAGTGATGCTGTCGGGGTTATATCGATTGAGGCACGGTTCGTGCGATTTCTTTCTCTTGAGCAGGAGGTTGGATGTTGAGATCACGATCAATCCATCCCTGGTTAACATTTTCATACCACAACTGTTCGCTGTTTGCTTCAAGTGTGTCAGAGCATCTCGAATGTCCGGTCAACCCCTCCAGGATGGTGGAGTCATTTCCCGAGGTTCATCCCGTTTCTGCTGTGCAGAAGCAACCCACAATTCCTGTTTCGGGAAATATGTGGTGTAAACAGAGTTTGCATTCCAACGTCGTCACTTATCCACATCTTGTGTATGCTTCCATCACTTTTGTGCAGAACGTCACGGGGACGAAGCCTCCGCACTTGTAGACCCCATTCCTGGGACGCGAAACATTGAAGTGGGTGGCGGGGTTGAATTCATCTCAACGCGGAAACTCTGGGGGCTCTTCTCGCCCAAGAGGCTGCACGTGGACGACTACTTGTTCCTCAGCGGCAAAGCAGGTGCCGAGCATGGCTCCTCCATACTATTTGCCTCTGACCTTCCCAGATTGCATTCCGCATCAAAGTGCTGGTTTTCTGAGGGGCGGTCGTCAGAGGTCGAAGAGCATCCAAATGTTGCGGGGTAGCACCCAATTTGAATCCCAAGAGGGACAATTAAAAGGACGCAGCTCGGTGGTATACCTGTTAAGATGCTGGACTCTGCGATGGGTCCTTGTTGCCGAGTACTTTTTCGAAGGGATCCTTTCTTCACTGCTCTAAAACATCATGGCTCTACGAAATTTGCAAGAACAGCTGGATGCCAGATGGCAACTTCCGAGCCACCACTCCATCACAATCTGGCTGGCTGATAACCCTCGGCTTGCCCTACTCTCCTCATTTCTGGCTTTATTGGTAGTCCAGCTTCTTCTCACGACTTATCGTGTTTTCTTTCATCCACTGTCACGATTTCCTGGCCCCTTCCTGGCCAAATTTTCCGGCTTATGGCGCAGTAACCGGTACATGAAAGGAACGTGGCATGACGACGTTCTCGAACTGCACCAGAAATATGGACGCATTGTCCGCATAGCACCCAACGAGCTCTCCATTGTGGACGAATTCGCCATGAAGCATCTCTACGGCCATGGCCACAACGCGAAAAAAACGGCGTGGTACAAAGTGTGGGATCCTCCTAATACGGCACCACAGCTTTTCTCAGAGCTGGATAAGAAGTACCATGCTTACCTTCGAAAACGGGTCGCTGGAGCTTATGCAATGTCATCGATTCTGAAGTATGAGAAGTACATTCAAAACTGTTTGGACCTACTTCTCTGGAGACTGAAGGAAAAAGCAGAACTCGGCCCGAGCGTGGATATGGCCAAGTGGACAAACGCATTCGCTTTTGATGTTGTCGGTGAGCTGGCATACGGGACGCAGCTGGGTCATTTGCGGACCGAGACAGACGTCAATAACCTGAGAGCTAACGTCTTCAATATCTTTTTTACACTTTCTAACCTCGGCCACTTCCCTGGTCAGGCATGGATTGTCAATAATTCGCTGACGCAAGGCTTGCTTTGGATGATGCGAGTTCCACCTGTGTTCGCGGAGTTTGCGACGTGGAGCAGAGATAGGGTGAAAGATCGGATAGAGAACCAGGACAAAATCAAACGTGACGACATGCTCAGTCACTTTTGCCGGATGAAATGTAAAGACGGTAGCCCAGCCCCTCTAAATGAAGTGCTCATTGAGGCGATGAACCTTATGTGAGTGCACTGCCCTTGGGTATACCTTGTACCTTGGAGCCTCTGACTGATGGCAATCATAGTGGCGCCGGAGCAGACACCACTTCTATCGGCATGCGATCGTGTTTGCATTACCTGTGTAAATACCCGAAATACTACCGCTTAGTTCAAGACGAAGTCGACAACTTCTACGTCGCAAACAAAGGGACAGAACCAATAACGTACCTCCAGACCCAACAACTCCCTATGCTTCAGGCGGTGGTGAAGGAAGCCACGCGCCTTCTGCCGTCCATTGTGTTTCAACTACTGCGACATGCGCCGTACAATTTCACTGTGAGGGATCAGTACATACCCGCTGGAACGATCGTGGGCATCAGCCCGATGGCTCAGAATCGGGATCGTGATATCTTTGGGGAGGATGCCAATGAGTTCCGCCCTGAGCGCTGGCTTGAGGACCGCGACAAAGCTGGCTATATGGATACCAGTCTTATGACATTCGGCGGGAGCGGACCGAGGATGTGTGTAGGAAAAAACATCGCTTTGGTAAGTTGAATACCTCAACCCGCGGCAAATAGGGATTCAGAAGATCCTGTCGGACTAACATGGGTCTATCTTTAGGTCGAAATTCATAAATTCATCGCTCAGCTCCTCTATTACTTCGACGTCGAGATGGTTGACCTGAAGAATCCGTGGCGTATCACAACGGTATGTTCATCGAGCCCTCATCCAGGCTTTGACTGACTTGGTGGCAGTACTGGTTTGCATATCAGCGTGATCAACATATGAAGATCCGGCTGCGGCCTGGTCGCACCCCGCTCAGGCCGGAAGGACTGGCGCTCGAAAAGAAGTCGGCATGAGTAGTGCCGGGGGCAAGACTTCTAGGAACAGTAGACCAAGTGTAGGCATCATCGATTCCTGTCTCCACGGGCTCACCACGGATAGCTGGGTCGACACAGGGACTGGCCGTCGAGAATGCCAACTTAATTTAGGTCAAAATCGCGAGATGTCGGCGTACTAGCTTCTCATATATTTTTTTAATCTACGTATCCGTTAATCGAACTACATTAAGCACCTAAGTAGATAGATAAAGAGTATAGTGCCACTAAACTTAAATAGTTTCTAAACACTTTAAGTCGTATTCATAAAATTCTAAGATACATATATAATATAGATTAATCTTTAGAGAAATATAGAAGATAGACCGAGAAAGCTCGTTAATAAATACTTTATTATCTTAGGTCTTCGATTTAATATCGAGACTAGACTCTAATTAGCTAAATTATAAACTAAAGCGCCGATTAATTATAAAATTTAAAGAATATTACGATAAATAAATCTAAGACTTAATATATAAAAATAATTTAAATTTCGTTTAAGTTATTTAAATAATACTATTAATAAATAATTAAATAAATAATCTTAATAATTATATTATCATTTTAAATATTTATTATTTAATCTTTTTAAATAAATAATTAAAAATATTAATAATATATTAATTTTTAAAAGTTTTAAATTTTTTATATATAAATTAATAAATTATTTTTAATTTTATATATAAGATAAGTTTTAATTTAATTAAAAATATATAAATAAAAATATAATTAACTAAAATAATTATAATTTATAAAAAATTTAAAACTTTTAAAAATTAATATATTATTAATATTTTTAATTATATATTTATAAATATAGTATAATAGTATTAAATATAGTCTTAAATAAATTATAAAATAAGATACGTATTAAGAAAAAAAATTTAGTTAAATATAGAATAGTTTAAAAGTAAGATTAAATTTATTACGTAATATTTAGATTAGAAAGTGTTCGGAGGACATAAAGAACTATCTAATGTATAGATAGTAAGGCTTATATAGATCGTAAACCTTATAGGTAGGTAACTAACTATTAAAGAACTTGAAGATAACTATCTACCTAGGGAGAATAAAGGTCTTTATATAGATAATGAGTGTCCATAGTTAAGACTCTTAAAATGTTAATTTTAAATCAACATTAGTAAGCACGACCAATCATTTAATAGAGTGCGGAATTAATATCGCACTAGTCACGTAATTTCATAGACCCTAGATCTAAATACGAAGTTAAACTTCGTATTTAATTACGTAACTTAAGATTTAATATAAATCTTTAAAGAGCGATATTCCACACACCCCCTTAAATTAAATATAGCTAGTTTTAGCTATATTCTAGCTTATATTCGAAATATCGTTATTCCGATTAATTCTTATAGACTTGTTGAATAGTCTATAGGTATCTAGGGCTCTTTACTAGCCTAGGTTTCGTAAGTCTATTTCTTTAATAAAGGCGATCTATTTTTCAGTTATTATAGACTTAGTTAAACCATCGGCTAGTTAACCTTTCGTAGATATTTATATAAACTTAGTTAGCTTATTTTAAATGCTTTCGCGTATATAGTAATATTATATATTAATATACTTAGTCTTAGCGTAATATACGGGGTTTTTTACTAGTTCCATAGTTAAGTTTAAGTTAGTATATATATTTAGACATTCTATAGCGAGATTAGATTTTAATAGTTCTTTTATCTCGCTTAGTAGTGCCTTAATATACTGTTGTTCTTTTATAGCCTCTTTTAGGGCCATATATTCGGCTTCGTAAGAACTTAGCGCCACTATACGCTATAATTTTAAATTCTAGAATAGAGGAGTACCGCGGAAGATAAATAAATAATTAATAGTAGATCTTTTAGTATCTATATTATCTTTCTAATCTAAATCTATATAGTATTTAATACTAGTAGATATAGATTAATAGAATAGATCTAAATCTTTTGTTTTAGATAGGTATTTCTAGATTCTTTTAAGTATTTTAAAGTATCTAAGATTAAGATTAGATATATATCTAGCTAAATAGCCTACTAGATAGGCTAGATCTAGTTTAGTCTTTATAGTAAGATATATAAGGGCTTCTATTTACTATTAGAACTTCTTTATATCTTTAGGTTTTACGTCTCCTTCTATAGGCTTAAATTTTAAGTCTATTAGAATAGGACTAGTGAGTTTTATAGGTCTTTTATCTTTTAGCTATTTATTAAGTATTTTTTTAATATATTAATCTTAGCTTAAAGATAAGATCTTATCCTCGCGATTTCTAGTTATCTTAATATTTAGAAATTTATCTATATCTTCTAAATTTCTTATTTCTATAGATTTAGATAGATCTTTAAATAAGGAGTTAATCTTTACTTTTTCTAGAGATATAATAATGATATCGTCGACATAGGCTATTAAGATAACCGTTTAGTCGATATTCGAGTAGATAGATTGATCTATCTTTAGTGGGAATAAACCTCGATCTCGTAAGAGACCTTTTAGGTAGATTTTCCATTCTTTATCTAATTATTTAAGCCTATATAGAGCTTTTAATAATAGATATATCTAACCAGGGTGGTTTAGGTCTTCCTAACCTAATGGTTGCTGTATATAGACCTTTTCTTGTAAATAGGCGTTAATAAAGGCGTTCTTAACGTCCCATTATTGTATTTCGAGATCTAGATAGGCAGCTATAGCCAGAAGTAGTTTCTAGGCTATAGGATTAACTGTATTTACAAAGGTTTCGTTATAATCGATGCTATATCGTTGTTAAAAATCTTTAGCTATCTATCTAGCCTTATAGATAGAATTTCGATTAGAATTCTTTATTTTAAGGACTTATTTCCCATCTAGAACCTTTAGATCTGTAGTCCTAGGGACTAGTATCTAGGTTTTACGCTTTTTAAGGCTATCTATCTTAGATTAACAGGCTATTTTCCATTTTAGCGCGTCGCTAGAACGTATAGCCTCGAGATAGGTGGGATCGGTAGCTAATAACGTAAACTCGTTATTTGTATAATATTCCATTTGTTCGATAAATGATTAATTCTCTATAGGTCTTAAATCTCTTATAGAGTTGTTATTTTCGACTAGTTAATCGTTTACTAGTTAATTATCAATTTATTTAACTAGTTAATCGTTTATTGATTTAACTAGTTGATTTTCTAAGTAGTCAACTAGTTACTTATTTATTATAGTGTCGATCTGCGCCTGTATCTTAGCTAGTTTGCTAGATAGACGTTCTAGAAGGTCTTTTATGAAGACTCCTTTCAGTATATTAATATCTCGCGCTATAGTAACCGTATACCTAGCGCTAGGCTTAGTAAGCCTATATTAATTCGATCCGTAACCGACTAGAATATAAGAATTTGCCCTAGGATCTAGCTTTTTAAGAGATTCCTTTGGTTCTCTTTTATACGCTATAAATCCCTAGGTTCTTATATTTAAAATATTAGGTTCTGGTTATATCTAGCTTCGTAAGGCGTTATAAAGTTTTCTAGGCTAGAATATAGGGTCCTATTATAAATATAGATAGCGGCTATAGTCGCTTTCTTCTATAATCCTTTAGATAGTTCTAAGAATATAAGCATCGCTCGTACCTTATTCATAAGTGTACGATTAAATATTTCGCTTATATCGTTTTGTTTAGGCGTATAAGGGGCTGAATAGATTACTATAACGCCTTTTTCTTTAAATAGCGCTAGGAACTGTTCGCTTTTATATTCTCTAGCGTTATCGGAATATAAACGCTTTAGTTTAGCGTTTAATTGGTTCTCTTCTTCCGATAGATAGTCTTTAAACTTATTAAAGACTTAATCTCTGCTAGATAATACTAAGCGAATAGTTACATATCTTGTCTTATAGTCTATAAACGAGACGATATAGCGCTGTTTAAGGAAGGTCTCTGGCGTTATAGGTCCACATATATTAGAGTGAATCTTTTCGAGGGTTTCTCGAGCTCTAGGCATCGGTATTCGACTAATTTTTGCTGTAGCCTTTGATTGAATGTATATTTCGCACTCTTTTATCGATATAAACGATTTTATAGGTAAATCGTAATCTAGGGTTTTCTTAGGTAGTGCCTTTAAGGCTATACTATCTATGTGACCCATTCGTTAATACTAAATATCTATATCTACCGCGGAATAGACGTATTCGGTAGTAGGATAGATATCGATAGTTATAAGGTTATATCTATAATAACCTTTAGCTATCGCCTTATCTTTTACCGATAGATTAATTAAGTTATTTTCTATCGATATAGATACTCTCTTTTTAGCTAGTGCGCCTAGGCTTAATAGATTTAAGCCCATTTATAGTATATATAGATAATCTTAGATAGTTACAGTTCGACCAGTTAACCTGAAACGTACTCGGACGTTCCCTAGCCATTCTACTAGGATATTGAAAATATTACCCCAGTTTAAGGTCGTTTTATAGGGCCTTAGGTCGCTAAATAGCGCCCTAGTAGAGCATATATATCTACTAGCCCCACTGTTCAGTATCTAAGTATTCTGGCTATGTAAATCGTCTATTGTAGATAGAGCGAATTCTATTTGTTCGACTAGTTGACCCTTAACTAGTTCTTTGGCCAGTTAACCTTCTTCTTTTACTAGAAGAGTAGGTTCGCTTTTTTTAGCCTTTTTAAGGTCTTTAGGGTTAGTAACTCTAGAAGGCCTTAGACTAGGGTTTTTTATCCAGCACTTTTCGATTTTATGACCGTTTTTATGGCAATAGGAACACTTAGGCTTAGATACAGCCTTAGTATTAATATTCATAGCCATTTCAGTGGGATGAATCGACTTTAGACGTCTCGTTTCGTCTAGTAGATAGCTAAATATAGAGGATAGATCGATCTCTTTTTCGCTAGATCTGAGACTTTGAGTAATTATCGCGACGGTGTTTTCGTATTCGGTCGTTAAGTTATTTAGCGTATAAGCTATAATAACCTTATTTAGTATAGCGAGCTTTCTAGCCGCTAGTTCGTCGGATAATCGCTTAAT